AGAAACGGTCCACCGCCTGTAACCACGATCGTCTTTTCACCGTGACATCTTGGATCGTGTCCGTAATGTCTTCGTCTCCCTGACTTATATATTTCTTGGTATCCGTCAGGTCCAACTCAAGCGCTTTAGCAATGATAGCAGATAGTTGGTGCGTTTTAGGGGGGACCTTTTTCTGCAACTTACCTTTTAACGTTGTATTTTGTAGATGATCGATGAACAAATCTCGGGTGGACTTTTCATCGCGCCCTGATTTGTCTAACGTAGTTCGAAATTGATCCACGAAGTCGGGCAACAATTCCACGGGTCCTTGCGGTCGAGTCTTGAGCACATACCAGGCGGCGTCTTCGCTAACTGTGTCAAATCTAGCCAAAAAGGCTTGCTTAAAGGTGTTCCAGTCTACCCACGTGTGTTTCCTAAGCCAATCATGTGTTGTGTTGCGAAGCAACAAGGTGAGGACGCGTGGGAGATCTTCCGTGTCATACCCTTGAGCTTCGACGGCTTCCAACCAAGCTTGGGGGTGGGTGTGATTAGGAAAGAAAGGAAAAGGAGCGTGAATACTAACAATTACCCTGGGGGGCGCTACGTTACCGTCTGCCATTGGCATAGCTGGTATAGCCGCACCGGATCTAGATCTGGTCACTGGGCGATCTCGACGAGCAGGTTGAGGACTTCTTCTACCTCTTGCCAGCTCGACTTACTATCATCAGAACGGACACGTGTCGTTTCCGATACCAACCTCACGGCTTGTGCTGTCTTTCGTTCAGAGTGCTAAAGGTGCGGAATGAAGGCCCAGGAAAAACAGCAAGATGGGGTGTGCCAAGGATTTTTGGAAAATTGAGTGTGGGGACACAGACAGAANCTAAAGGTGCGGAATGAAGGCCCAGGAAAAACAGCAAGATGGGGTGTGCCAAGGATTTTTGGAAAATTGAGTGTGGGGACACAGACAGAACTGAAATCCCCCGTGTTGGCCCGATGAAGTAAGTCGGCTGCTTTCGCGCGTCGCGGAATGCGTGCGCGGGCACGGCGTGAAAAGAAAAAAATCCAAATTCAATCCAAAAAGTATTGTCGAGCTTCCCACCGTGCTACGGATCTTCGTTTAGAGCGGAACGGCTTCGACACACTCCGCATATCCCGTTTCTGTATCAAGTCCCGACGTCGCTCGTTAGTCAGTTCCGAGTCTGACGTGGATGGTCTAAGTCGCATGACTCTTTCCTTGTGCTCGTCCTCACTCCGTATCCGATAGTGGAAGCCCTTTGATTCGTAACGATCGAAACGCTGGCACTGAGTGCACAAGGTTTGAGGCCAATGGGGCGCCACTGTCGTCCACGGAATGACGATCAGTTCGTTAAATGACAACAATACCGAGTAGGGTAGAAAGTGTGTATCGATAATGACAAAGCCCACATCCACAAAGCCGGAACAACGATTTTCAGGAGGGAAGTAGTATTGTCCGTCGATGCGTGCAACAACTTCCCGTACGTCCCACTCGCATACACGTGTCCTCTCCTCGTTGTAAGGGAAGGGGCGCGTTGGCGAGGAAGATACGGAAGGCTGGCGCCCGATCGAGGAACGACCGTTGGCCCACATATCAATCAATCAAACAGAATTTACACAAATCCTTAAGACGTTATCAACAAAATGTCTGGGGCACAAAAAGAGCTAATTAGTACCTTCCTATTACGGTGTTTTCATTATAAGTGAAATTGTTTTCATGTTCATTTTTTTTTTTAACTGTAAAATGGAAGAACGAAATGAGAAAATTATAGACGAAATAACGACAAAGCAAAATAACGAAAAATCGAAATAACGACAAACAAAAATAAGAACGAAACAATGTTCATGTATCAAAGCTTAGCGATGCAAAGTTGAAGAACGACAAAACAATGCTCATATATGAAAAGTTGAAGGAAAATTTTAATGTGTCAGTCATGATTATACAAGTTCAAAACAATCATGCTCCCGTGTTGCTTGTGCTCAAAATATAATACAATATCAAGTTTTTACCTCGAATGTTTACACTCAGTAAACATGTCAATCTCATCAACAAAATATTAACTACGGACAATAACTTTAGTCGCACCTCATTGACTTTCCTATCTAACCATGGACAAAATATCAAATGCTATTTTAAGCCTCATATCAGAAATATTGGCTTGTGGGAAAGCAAATGGAGGGAAGTGACCTCTTGCAAGCAAAGATGCAAAACCTAACATAAAAACACCACAACTACAAGGATCCTCTTGAGCAGGAATCCCATCTACTGATGTATCAAAGGAGGATGTAGGCCCGTCCACATGATATCTTTCGTGAAGATTGTGTCGATGAAACTCCGCTTCGAAAAAAAAATCCAAACATTCAAGGACTGAAACATAGTCAACACGAGGGAGAGAGTCTATGAGGTGGAATTTACAGTTCGGACCGTCTATGCTGACATAAGCTAAGACCCAGTGATTTCCAAAATGAAGAGGGATAATCACTAAGTCAGAATAAAAAAAAATTGTGTTCTTCACCCATTTCATCCCTTCGGAATGTGCGGTTTCAAACCTCGAAGCACCCAACAATCGAGTGAAGAAAAAGGAATTGAAAATGTACACAAAAGGAACACTACAAGAGTTTTCATGCTTTCTTGTCACTTCTGTACATGCCGAATCAACCTTGATGTGGTCATTGATGATCTGGACGGCTAGCAGGTACAAATTGACGATTTTGTCATTTAACCGTTTCCCATCCTCGACGACGACCATGATGTCTTCCTTTCCCACCTTCCATCTTCCCTTGTAATCGACAATGCCGTATGCTTCATTGTCTTCGCTGCTGCCTGTAATCATGTCAAGATACTCCTTTTCTTCTATGGTGAGGCGTTCTATTGTTAAAGGAATCTGTAACAAAGGGTCATGAACTGCATACAACCACACATATAAACAACAATGGAACGACTAAGACTACATACAAAAACGAACTTTTCGTTATGTGATGTTCGACGTATACCCGAGTTCATGTTTTTGGTTGTCTATTTGTTTCTCTATCAGAGCTGTCATCCACAATATATAAACTGCAACCTTCGCGATGCAATTTCTTCCCTTCTCTGAGGCTTATTCCAACAAATTTAAACATCCTTAGGGCATTGGCTTCATAAATGAAAATGTCATGGGTGTAAGTCTTCTTCTCTCTTTTTTGGGCAATAACGGCAAAGTTGATAAGGCTTGCAAGCCACGACGAATAATATTCTTCTCACTCTACCTTTGCAAACATACGTGCGTCGTTTTCCACAGTTCTTTTCGTCACCCTGCATGTTCATCAATATAAAACGACAATGATTGACAAGACAAAACATTATGAGTTTAAGTTCAATTTTTCACATAATTGCAAATAAGAGATACACAATATTCTACCTCATTTCTTCTCATCACCGAGCGTACGGTTGCAAACCTAGGCAAAAAATTAGTTCATATGAGTGCATGTAATATACCCCATAGTCCGCCTATAGTATTAGATATTCCCTTAGAGATAAGTACGTGCTCACCTCGGTGGCTCACTAACACTTTGTCTTCAACACGACCTTCTATCGCACCATGCGATGGCGTAAAAGGAGATTCGTCGATAGATATCATGAGGTTAGCAGACTGTTGTGCTTCTGATTTTGCAAGCATAAGTTCAGGTTGTACAAACGTATGTTGCTTCCGTGTAATTAGTACTATATGTCCTTCATCCTCTTCGATGACCTGTACATTGACAGTTTCCTTTGCACTTGCAGTCGCGCTTTCATTCTTCATGTCCAGAGAGACTTCATGCTCATCTTTCTCAACTGGCATATCCAACGATGGCATCTCTAATTCTGCAAGTGCACCAGTATTATCCACTTGCGTAGTAACACTCTCGCTCGCCAACACAGTGGTCGCCCAAACTTGGTCATCCGGAAGGACCTCCTCGACACATTCGCTCGCCAACACAGTGGTCGCGCAAACTTGGTCATGAGGAAGGACCTCCTCGACACATTTTGGTAGTTCTCCATGACTTACGCCCTTGACGCTTGGACCGCCGTTTGCACCGCCGCTTGCTCCCAAATCCTTGCCACTTGCATCGCCTCTGGATCCCCTGCCATGTGCACCGCCACTTGGTCCTAGTCCCAGAGGCAAACCCGATCCCCTGCAATGTGCACTGCTGCTTGGTCCTGATCCCATAGGCGATCCCGATCCCTTGTCATGTGCACCGCCGCTTGGTCCAGATACCTTTCCCTCTGTTGCTTGACGCCCTTGACACATCTCGTGTTTTTGCAGTTCACCATGACTTATTGGCTTTCCACTTGCACCGATGCTCGGTCCCAGACCCTTGCTACTGGCACCGCCCCGTGGTTCCGATCCTTGTCATGTTCACCACCGCTTGATCTTGTTCCCTTGCCAAGCGCACCGCCGCCTGATCCTGATCCCTTGCCACTCTCATCGCCGCTCGCTCCTTTCCTTTCCCAAGCTTTGTCTTTAAGTTCCTCTTCGATACGCCAATTATATCCAAAAGCTGGACTTGTTTCTCGATCATAGAACTCTTCCAGATACTCAAGCCATCGAGATGTTTTGAACTCCTCAAAAATTTCTTCTGTCCTTGCATCCAGTCTTGATTGAGAAACCTGCGGATTAAGTCGCAGTAGTCGCTTGCCAATCTGATTTCTGGCGTGTGTGACAAACTTGGATTGTGACATACGTCTGTGGAGGCAAAATTGTCACTCCCCTTCTTCTTTTATAGCCATTACCCTGTTCCCTCTCGCCAATGCAGGTTGGAAGTGGTGGGGGTGCCATATAATGTGATGACCCCATACGTTGTCAAGCATCACCGTATAATCGTCTCGGCACACAATAGGTCGAGAAAGCCGTGCAATATCCGGAGGGATGATGTCTTCAATCTCGTACTCCAAAGGCTCAGACGGAGGTTGTTGAGGAGTTTGAGAGCGTAGCAATTCCAAAACAGTAGTCGGGCTATATGCAAGTGCTGACAGACTTGCCATAACCTCTGGGGAGAGCATTGCCTGCACCCTCGGATCATCCTGAACTGCGCCGGAAGATAGCGTTGTTGTGTTGCCCGCCATGTAACTGGTCCGTTGAAACTGGTCCGTTGAAACTGGTCCGTTGAAACTGGTCCGTTGAAACTGCAATACTTGAAGCCCCCCCAGAACCGCACGATGTGCCCGACGCACCCATCTTTTGCGAAACCGAGCTGCAAGCTTTTTGCCTCTCATCTGCCAAAGCCGCTTGCAAAGGACCATCGTCACTTTCTTCCTCAGAGTCCTCAGCATCGAAGCCTTCCCCAAAACAAGTTGCATAAGCTGCGATTGTAAATGCCCCGATGTGTTCGTCGAAGTACATCATCTCCAAACGGTCTAGAAATGCAACTTCCGTCTCCGCCGGTGCCTTATGATATCCCCTCAGAAGTGATTCCATTTTTCGCCTTCTGGTGACATATGCACGTCCCCCTCTGTTTTGTGACTTAGTCTCGAAAATGAACTCCCAAATGTTGACGATGTTTTGCCCGACTTTGTAGACGAGATCACGCTTTTCATCATGTTGAGGAGGCGGCTTAACAAATTTGGCGAAGTAACCTCCACTCTTGACCATCCTGTTGACGAATTGAACGAGAAACTCGAACTTCATACCCTCCCCTTCCAGAACAATGCAATGACGGTAACTCTTTAACAACTCCCAAATCAACGCCGCATGACCTTTTCCCAGGAAAACAACCACCTCATCCGCAGGACAAAAATGCTCGAATGTCTCCACCATCGCATTTGGCTCCCTTTCCATACCTTCGTACACAAATTTCTCTTTTGGCCCCATACCTGCCATTTTCAACTTCGTGGGCGTGAAGTTCTTCTCCACGACATCAATCAACATCTTTGGCCTTCTCTCTTTGTGCACAAGTGCTGATAAGTCCCCCGCCTGCTCGCCAGATGATCGATTCGCAGCTGGAGTGTTTGCTGGAATGTCTTCAAGCAAGGGAATAGTGTTGCGGTGATGATCCCCATCGTTGGAGTACATGATGACAACCATTTTGTTTGTGTCCTCCAAAGGCAAGTTCGCAACCTTATATGAATGCTTCGCCTTCGTTTGTTGCTGACGAGTCCACTTTAGAATGGACAAATGAATGTCAATGTCCCAACTTGTAACTTGCTTGAAAAATGTATACTCGCACGACCGCGGAACGAAGTACAATAATGTCCAATAATCACCTGCCAGTTTTCCCATGAACTTCCATAGACCATCAAAGACTTCTTCAGTCCACACCCCTATCTGGGTTGGGTGACACAAATCCAGCACGGCCGTGTGGCAACTCAGATGTTTGACGACTCTATATATTTCCTTGGAATCCATCTCGTCTGAAATATCACTTGGTTCCCATTGGAATGGGATGAAAACAAAGTTCACGTTCTGTTTATTGAAATGTATATATTTCCTCGTGCCCGACATTCTTATGGTTTCCGAACCCCTGGTTTCTGATCTGCGCAGCAGCTTGTTGACAAACTGCACTAACTCTTCGGGGCACTTCGCAGCAAGTGATGCTGTTTTCTTGAAGCCCGCTTCTCCTTTTTCCTCTTCTCCTCCAACTGTAGCCGGGAACGTTCGCACCCAATTTATGTCTTTGAAATGGCGACGCTGGTCGATCCACCTCTCAGACCTCAATCCTTCATCACAGTACTTATCAAACAAATCGGAAAGGTTGTTGAAAAATCGTTCCGTCCACTCTGACGACTTCCTTTGAGGGTCAGAAATGAAGACGAAGTAGTGAAACATCCTCAACATTGCTCTTTCAATCTTCACCATTTCCGCGTATGTCTCCGTTGAATATTTCCCGGCACATTGAGCAGCTCCACTTTGCTTAGGAGTCAGTATTACATTGTCTGTGAGAATGTCTCGCAACAGTTGAAGCCGCTCACACCTCCCAAGAGCTGAAAAGGGCTTCCACGCTCTGATATCCGGATCGTGCATAGCCACGAGGTAACCTGGTCCTTTGGTACCCTGAACCGGATACCTAACTCCACCTTTCAACTCAAATCCAGGTCCAGCCTTCGATGCCTTCCCTGATTCACCTTGTTTGGTAGCAGGCTTCACAGCATCTCTCCCCGACAATTGTCCAGCTTCCCAAGCGGCGTACACTTGTTTCACCTTTTCGAAAAGTTTAACGTCATCTGTCGCCCTTGCCAACAACATGTAGGGCCCGAGGGCGTCAGACCATTGGCCGCTCCATTGAGTAGTAAGAGACATGTCAACCAAATTACGAATCCCGGTCAAACGAAGAGCCTCTCCTGCAAACTTTCTATAATCTGCATTTTTCACTTCTGTCGCTGAGCCGCCTTTAGCTTCAGGACAGTTCGATTCGTGCCACAACTTTCGTATGTTCTGGATGACCACGATCTGGTGCGATGGGGTATTCCATTTGTCCTTGGCGTTCTGGAAAGTGCTCAGCGTGCCGTAATTGTCCATGCTCTTATCTGGATAATAAACAGGCCTCGCAGTCCAGCGATCCAATCGGAGCTCTTGTGCGATGTCAGGGCGTTGAACAAAACACCTTCTTGCCGCCGCCACGTTATGTTGACCGCTGAGAGGGTAGTAGTAGTACTTGTTCACAGAGCCGAGGTCGAATTTATCGGGCAGCACCCTCCTTGCTCTCACAATCCTCCCTGAAACGTCAGTATGCAATGTATCACGGAGGGCAACCAACAAAAGGACAGGCTTCTCATACAATGTACAAACATTCACACCGGCAGCTCCAGTCGTTCTCTCTCTGATAGCAGCCTCACCAGATGCAACCATTGCGTCATAAATGTCATCAATCATCTGTTGCACAAGATAGCGTTGATTGTATCAGAATTCCCCGTCGGGGATATCCAAAATTCTGTCGAACTTGACAGAAATGAATTCCATGTCTGGACACTGGTTCCCATGCTCGTCCAACTCAAGGAAGAAGCCTTTGCTGAGAACACCAGAAGAAGTCACCGATGGCACATTTCGCAAACTTGGCGGCCTAGTAACTGTCTTGCCTTTGGCCTCTTCATCCGATTGTGGTTGTTTTGTTGGAAAAACGGAAGTCTTTTCCATGACACCACCTTTTGCCTTTCTTTTCTTTGGCTGCTGCTTTTTCTTCGTGGCCGCCTCAGTCTCCCGTGTTCGTCGGACCGCCTCATCCACGGGCAATATTATCAATTGTCTTTTTTCACCCGCTTCTTGCTTACTCCGTTTACTATCCAAAGCACTTCTCCTCTCCTGCCTGTGCTTCCTCTTTCGCTCAGCGAGCCATGCAGCATCTGTATGCCCAGCCACAGCCACTGTCGCGTGGTGCACCCCCCCTCGTGTTGGATGCACATCCCCCTCACATCCTTCGTAGTTGCTCCCATATCCTCCTGCCAGACCAACCTCTCCACCCAATTCGCTCATAGTGTGCTCCCTGTCTTCATCTTGTCCAACCACTTTACATGTCTTTCCTGGATGCCTCGTCATGTCGCCGACACCCACAGCATACTGTTCTTGTCCTCCTGCTCATTCCGAATGTTCCTCGCTGTTCTCTTCATCATCATCTTCAAAATACTCATGGGCTTCCCCTGCGCGGCTTGGCACAGTGTAGTCATAGCGCTGCTGGCCCACCAAGGGGAGAGGTGCCTTGGTGGCCGCAACATAGCGAGGTCGGCAGCCCAAGGCAACTGGTGCTTTGGTCGCCGTTTGCCTGGACTTCACAGGGGCTGACGGGACGACCAGTCCGCGGCACGGACCCTTCTCTCCAATCTGCCCAGCTTTCGGACCAGGCGGCGTATCGTGGATCGTGATTGAAGACCCTGTCTCCACGGTTTTCGAAAGCACGCATTTAGGCTCCGATATGCGGTCTTCTGGATGCACAACCGGCTCTTCGCCCACGATCACATTACTGTCGAAAATCTCGAGGACGTCGACGAGGTTAGGCAACTTCACTTCCGCTCCACCTTTCTGGCCATGTAGGGTGCCCAAAGTGCAATTGCAAACTGTATCATGCCCCATGGTGCAATTATAACTCATTTTTGTGACTCTCCTGAAGTGACCCCAAAAACAAAACTCTTAGCCAGTTTCTTCTATCTATGTTTGCTCCTCAGTGGTGAAGCACAGCCCATGGACAGTAATTTCATGCTTTATTTGAAAAACAAAAAGGGAGACGGCCTTGAGGTATCATCATTGCACTCTCCAGCCCAGGTAATTCAAAATAGTAGGGCATACTCAGGGCACACTCACGCTGAGACCATAAATCCGCATAATCTGAGAATTTGCAGAGGGCCTATTTGGGGATCTAGTGGTATTGCCAGTCACACTTTGTTTCACAATTGGTAAAGACAGGGTCGCGACCACCACACCATGTGGCTAGTCGCACAGCACGAACGACAATTCCTTATCTTTTTTTTTTTTTAAATGACGGAAACCAGGCCCGTGGCTGCCACATTGTCAATTGTTTGAGCGCCTAGGGTCTTTGATTTTTTCATCATTTTTCATGTAAAAAAAAAGACTCATCTACCTTTCTTCATCATAACTTTCAGAAATTTCCGATTGGATCGTTCCCGGAGGGTGAAACGGTACCTTGCAGGGGCATCACAAGGCGGGGGGTGAATGTCTCAGAGAAGGTAGGGGCGGAGTAGGGGGTTGCCCTATTCTGGGGCAGGGGCTGGTGTGTGGGTCAATATCAGTCCCGGCGGAGGCAGAAGTGGGCAAGGGGCCGGGAAGGCATGCTTTAGGTGGGAACTGTGTGCTCCTGGGGAAAGGGGGGTAGAGGGTTGGTCCTACATTGGGGCCGAGGGAGAGTGGGTGACTCACCTAGATGGAGGCAGTGTAGGGCTGAGGGGGGAGGGGTGGGGGGAAAGTTTACTTTTCTTGAATAAGTCTATCATCTAGACTAAGTTTACTATTTCTTTTCATTTGGTTTGCCGCTCGAGGAGGTTGTAGGAATAGGTGCTATCTGACAATTCATTTGTGATCCTGCGAAGGGTGGTTGAAAATTCGGTGGCCCTCGAAGACCGATGCTGGAGCAACGCTGGCCGGAGCCGGAGCCAGGTGGCGCAACTTTGTGACCTAGCTTAGTGGGGGCGTGAGGCCTGGTAGAGAGCTCTGGGGGGCTGTGTGCAGGGGCAGTCTCAGTGGTCATCGGGGGTCGTAACTGGAGCAATGCTGGCCGGTGCTGGAGCAAGGTGGTGCAACTCTGTAACCTAACCTGATGGGAGCCTGAGGCCTGGAAGAGCTTCGGTTCGTGATGAAAACAGTCATGCTGGTGGTGGTCGTAGGTGGATTGAATAGGTTTCACCTATCTGATTTATCCGTGGTTCTTATGAATGTCTTAGGACTCTAGGGACTCTTAGCAACCCATCCTAGGCGGTTTTCAAACGGTTATACTCCGTGATCTGCGGCTGTTCGATGCCACAACGACGCTGGCCGGTGCTGGGGTGTTGCCCTGTAACCTGCTGATGCAGGAGCGTGAGGCCTGGTAGAGAGATCTAGGGATGCTTTGGGGTGGGCATCCCAAGGGACAGCCAAGGTTTGCTGCTGGGACGACGCTCGTCGGAGCTGGGGCGAGTTGTGTTGCCCTGTAACGCAGCAGGGTGGGGGCATGAGGCCTGGAAGAGCTCAGCAGGGAGTAAGACTGTGTTGGAAAGTCTTAGAAGGGCTTGTTAGGAATCCTGAGGGATGTGAGCATTCGTAGGACCTCTGTGGCAGCCTACTGCATGAGTAGTTCTTTAATAGGCCATTAGATATTCACAGACTGATCTCAGGCGAAGCCGGGTAATGGCCCCGGTATCTCAAATGATCTCAAATGTTCTCAAATGTTCTCAAATGTTCTTAATGATCTGTACAATTTGATATGGGACGCTGGGCCCGGTTCCCAGCACGTGCTGCTCCCCACGAATAGATTGGAGCATTTGTTTCAAAAAAAAAAAAGAAAAAAAAAAAGAAGGCACTCTAGTGTCTACTGGTGAGCTGGTACTCGGTAGACGCTGGCCAGAGCCAGGGCGAGTCGCTTCGCCCTGTAACCGAGCAGGTGGGAGATTGTTCTGGGGTGGGTCGTGCCACTCTGTGACCTACCAGTTGGGGGTGTGAGGCCTTGTAGAGATTGGGTATCGTGATATAGGGGTTAAGGTAGATTTAGGGTTGGGCTGCTGAAAGGCACCAAGGTAGGCTGTTGGAGGTTTGAATGTTCCTATGGATCAAAGGTTTGGGTTTTTTCTCATAGCTTTTCTGCGCAAGTAGGTTGTGGAATAGGCTCTGCATTCTCTATAGAATCAGAGTTTCCCGAGTATCTCAAACGGTTCTGCATATGTTTCTCAATACGTTTTCGAATGGGACGCTGGGCCCGGTTCCCAGCACGTGCTGCTCCCCACGAATAGACTGGAGAATTGTCTTTTTTTCTTAAAAAAAGAAAAAGAAAAAAAGATAGGGTTGGTGTGAGTATACTTGCACCAGAACTTTCTTTGATGGATCAGACCGAAATTGCAGCTTCTCGCGCCGTGCATCTGACTGCAATTGCACCTAGAGTGGAATCAAAAAAGGTCCTCCTGTGACCTGTGAGTGTGAGGGCACACTCACACTAGTACTCAAAACCCCAAAAGACAAAAACAAGGGGAAGAGGGTCAGTCACACACACTTCCCAATACCACAAACACACTATTAGCAGCCCCATTTGTCAGCGGCCTGTGGAGCCACGTGGCAGGGGAATTTGCGGTAACCTCTTACCGCATATTCTTTTTTTTTTGATTTTGCTGATGACGATGAAAAGCACCCTAGAAATGATGATGATGAGGATGATGGTGACGACCAACTCACCTGCTAATGTGAACGGCAAACAATGCCTTAAAGAGCAAACATCTAATGATGACAAACTGATGATGATGATGATGATGGTAGTGATGAGAATGAGACAGAATGATGATGCTGATCATACTAAAGAGCAACACCAACAGCCCCGGTCCTATGATTACAAAAAGATGATGATAAGGATGATAATGATGATAATGATGATAATGACGATGTCGGTGATGCTGCTGCTGCTGCTGCTGATGATGATGATACACTGCACCCTGTGATGACAACAGGATGATGATGGTGCTGATGACGAGCACCTTTGATGATACCCTAATGATGATGATAATAATGATGATAATGATAAAGCTAAGCAGCACTCTATGATGGTGAAATATTGATGATGGTAATACAACGATGAGTAACGAACAACACCCCTGGAGTGAAGACCTATACCTTGATGATGATAACGAGCAGTACCCTAATGATGATGATGGTTATGATGAACCATTACCGTGATGATTATGTTGACACCCTGTTGATGATGATGATGATGATGATGATGATGGTGATGACGAGCAGCATCCTGATGATGATGACGAATTGCGGCGCTACCTGCTTTCGTGTGTTTAACCGTTGAACCAGCTCAAACGAATGCTTGAAACCACCAACTCTTTTCGACGCTCCAGCTTGTCACCTCCCACTCCGCATGAGAAGATGCTC